CCAAATTAGTTTGTCGAAATGTTCAACGACCCGTGGATCGTTGTAGACTAATTGAGCAAGAGTGGTCTTGCCAAGGCCTCCAACGCCAACTACGGGCAACACGAAGATTTCTTCATTATCATTGACTTGGTTGACCAGGATATCCACAATCTTCCGTGCATCTTCTTCTCTGCCATAAATGTGACGCGACTCATTCAAAACGGAACCAGTCTCACGCGTGGCATCAAATTTGATAGGCCTCTCTACAGCCATCTCACGCAAATGGAACTTTGCACGCTCTGCAGCAACCGCGTCAAGTTTCTCAGTGACCTGCTTCATCCTTCTTCCAATTTTGCGTCGGAAGAGAATTTTCTTCAAGCTATAGCGACTTAATTTGCTGTTTTTATGCTTCGATATAGAGACTTCCGTAGCACACTCATCCAGGATGTCATCAATCTCATAGGTAAGATCGTTGAGCTTCAGTAGCCAGTTCTGTATGGCTCTGCTTTCAAGTTGCTTCATCTCGGCATCTTCGAGCACGGATTGAACGGTGGTGAGTGTGCTGAAGAGCTTATTCATCTCTTCGTCCACACTCATAATCAAACCAATCTCACCTTCGATCAATGAGCTCAGCTTTTCAAGAACTACTTGAACGAAAGCCTCTGCCATTTCTCAACTAATTGAAATTCACAGCAACTTTAATAATAGTTAAAGAAACAAATATCTTGCTATTTGTTTCTCAACTAATTGATGTATTTTTTTCAAATTTGGAGTGCGCGTCTTTAGTCAGAGAAGAAATTACCACCAAATTTGTGTGGACACTTTTCATTTTCTTATCAGCTTCCACTAGTAAGTAGTCACTGTGCATGTGAGCAGCACAAATAATTGGCTGAGGTCAGTTTTCTGTTTGTGTTTCTCAGATATGTCAACATCATAGTTGGCCGACCATGTCTACAAAATTCCAGATGCAATAATAGTGAAAGATAGAGGAAGTTGACTGACTTAGTCTACACTTCTTTGTAAATTTCTCTTTTTTTTTTTTTTTTTTCTCAGTTTATAAGTATACTTATATTCAAGGGGCAATTAGACAAAATCCCTTGGAAATAATTTCCCTCACAACTATGGACAAAGTTCAAAACTTCAAATGTAATTCGTCTCTCAGCCTCAGATCACCCCTTTCAAAAATATTTCAAGTGGAGCCCCGTGAATAAAACAAATTGCAGATGAAATAGAGTAGGATAATTACAATTTTGGTCTCTATATTATATTGTTTTTTTGGTCCTTCAATTTTTTCTGCCACAAATTTGGTCCTTAAATAATCGGTTTTTTTACACATTTCGACGACCGTTTGAATTTCTTTTAAGTTAGATGGGAAAAGTCACATGCGTGGCACATGACAATGCACTTCAACCCCTTTTTACTTATATTATTTACTTAACCCCAGTATCACCTTTTGCTTACAATTTCGTCCAAAGAAAATAAAATTTAAATAACTCTATTAAAAATGAGAAATAACATAAATACCACTAGGAGGATTTTTAACAATTAGTAGGGAAAATTACAGTTTATGTCCCTAAACTTTACCACTAAAACGATTTATGTCCCCAAACATTTCAGTCCGCTATATATGTCCTTAAACTTGCCACTTTTGATCACTTTATGTTCTGCCGTTAACGTCGGCAGCTAACTTCGACGGAAATTGCACGCGTGGCTCACGTGACGTCTATGTGGCCGTTAAATGTGACGTGGAATAATATATTGAAAATTAAATATTGACGTGGCACAATATAGTAATTTCCTCTAACTCATTCTCCCAAATCCCAAATCCAAATCACGTTTCACTCATAAACCCTAATTTTCCCACACTTCACAATTTCAATCAGCTCAACTCATTCCCAAATTTTCAATCCAATATGCATTCTTGCTCTAACCCATACTAAAATCGGAGTCACAAACCCATAAAAATCCAAACATTTTCATATTTGAAGAGTTGTTTCCTTCTCAGAAGCTACGCTGCTTTGGGAGATTTTTGGAGAA